GATCCCTTCATAAGGTCGTGAAGTATACCGATTTGTTTGAGCTTTTACTGCTGGAGGCTGTTTGGAGCAGTATGAAGGGACGGGAAAAGTGATTTGTAATCACCTGCCAAAAGATTGGTAATAAGCGACCTACTCGAACACGGTGGCACGGTCAACTCCAGACTAGGCTCGAGATGGGAGTCACCGTGCTTAATTTAGCCCAAGCTGTCGTGTCCTTGGCCAACACCTGATGAAAATTCCGGACTGGTAGAAACTGGAGTCTTTGTATTCTCGGCAACTGTTTCTTAGTAGACTCGGCCAGATAACCGCCTCACTAGACTTGCATTCCCTTCGATAATGCAAGGATGTTTATGTAAACTTTAGCTTTTATGGGCCTATGAGCAACTAGCTGCGTCCAATGTGATCTACTGATTCAATCTTCCACTGCTCTCTACCTAGACTGAGGCTAGACACCCGAACTTTGAGGTTCAAAGTTCAAACATGTTTGACCACCAAACTGAACCTGAATGCAGGTTCAAGTTCCACGTTCGACACTTCCCCGCATATGCGAAGAAACTAGATAAATCAGTGGTAGAAAATGATATAGGAATTCTAAACCTCTCAACTTGGGCCAAAAGTGGCACGGAAGTGGCCTCAATCAGGGGCCAGTTTTAACTTTTGTTGAAAGGGCTTTGTTGGATATCCATCCCACTTGGAAAGTTGGAGAGAACATTTTCCTCCCTCCCAACAAGGGCCGAATTTACGGTTGGTGAAACAGGCTCATCTCGGTGGGTCTCCATCAAAAATAGAACTCTGAGTTCCAGCTCCTTCGAGGCACAAATTTGAGGACAAAACCGAGGAATCCCGCCGGATAAGCTGCCGGCAAGATTATGGAAGCGCAGTGGTGTAAGTAAAATGGTCACAAGGCCGCACTGATATAGTTATAATACGCGACGAACCCAAAAAGAAGGGAAAAAGGGCCTAACTGGGAATTGAACCCAGGACCTCCTCGAAACCGGTTGTTACACCCTAACAAGGAATCATACTACTAGACCATCAGGCCATTACAGCTGACTTCCCTTCGGACCTGCTGTCCATACTCTGGTACATGTACACTTATACTCATGACTCTGGCCAACTCGATTATCACGGAGTTCTTTTGTTTGTTTTTTACTCCAAATGACAACTGACAACTGACCAGGCTTGAAAAGGAAGATCAGGTTTTCGAGAGTCAATTGAACATGACGGCTGAATCATATTGACCAACGTTTACGTTGAAATTTAAACCTTGAAATCAACTTCACCAGCCCACGGACGGAGAAAGGAAGGATCGAAGGTAGCTCCAGAGTGAGCACCAAGCCTGAGGCCATGAGTGGAGCGGAAACTGCATTCGGCCTTGACAACCACTTGGACATTTGACTGATTCCTCCCACGGTTTAGGCTCAGTTCATCTGCGCAGAATACAACCAAGGGAAAGGATTGTGTCTGCCTCAAACCCATTGGGCAAAATTTTCGGCCCGCAAGCTGCTCGTGTGAAGCTTGTTCGCGAGAAAACATGAAGGCGCTCTCAGAAACATCGCACCCGACGCAGCTGCAACACAATGTTTGTTCCATCAGGACCCAAGACTTGGCGGAAGTAACTTGAAGGCTCGGCGTATCCCACCGGATGTCCCCATGATCTAAGGACCATTCTGCTTGTCTTCGATTTTTACTTCGAGTTCTTCAATCCAACCTGAACTCACTCATCCCTGGTCGTTCATTGTCCGGTAATGTTTGGAAGTGGTTATGACTTGACCCCATATCCGTCGTGAAATTTAACCCTGTACAACAACATTGATCCCAGTTTAACAACTACAAAATACAAAGCACGGCGCTGGGCCCGAAAAATGGCACTTGGCCGGATAAAGTACAACTTGTGGACTTCTTAGAATTGAATTTGAACCACTTCTCCGCGCCCCTACTTACAACCGAGTTAAAACGGCTCCGGCTTCACGAACGTGTCGCTCCGGCCTACGAGAGTATCGGCGCCCCCGCCCCTCGTAGAGTGCAGTACAGAGCTGGATATCGGGTAAGAAGACGGGGCGGTCCGCTCGACCGTCTTCCCCATCCCAATGCGGGCTTGGATGAGTGCGTTTGCTATGCCGGCGACGGCAGGGAGTGGAATGAGCGCCACAAATTGAATGTCAGAGTTGATTTGGTGGGTCACGATGTAGAAGGTGGCCCATGTCCTGCAAGGTGAATAAGATAATGGGAGGAGCAAACTTCGGCAGACGAACGTGGAGATTCCCGCACTTTCGACGAGGATGGAGAGGAAATGCTGCGGAAACTGTTAGGCAATGTGCAGACGGAACGGATGTTGGAGCAGCTCACTCTCAGATTGTTTCCACTGGCGGCTGAAGCGTTTTTGGTGGTGTTCCAGATTTTCCACGAAATAAGTCCTGGAATTAGTTGCAGTTGCGCGACGTAGATTCTAGGATGTAACTAAATACCCGTGGAGTAAAGGTTGGTACTGCAATGCAGGATCAGTAGCGGCCACGAAAAGAAAAAAAAAAAAAAAAGAGGACATACACGAGCGTGAAAATCAGGCCAGGCGTGAGTCCCTTGTCTTCAGCGATGCTATTCACATGTGTAGTGGTCTGTACCGACAAGACCAAGGCCACTGCGAGAACGCGTTATTTATTCTAAGAGCATGACATGGAGGGTGCGACGACTTACCCATGAGACCAAACAGAGTCAGGATTGGCAATATGATCACATATTTATTGCGCGACCAAACGATCCAGAGTCGGTATATCTGCCCTCGTCAGAGCGCCGGCTCGCGGTATGAGCATGATTGAACGCACAATCACACTGTCGCTAATCAGGATGGCCAATGCAGCGCAAACATTTTGAACCGTGGTTGTGATCTGGCTGTTGTCGTTGAAAAAGGCGGCGGCCGCAGTCCCGTTTTCAACAACGATGAAGCCAAGGAAGGCCCTCACAACTGTCAACACAAAATTCTAATTTGCTATATCAGCGGGTTAAACAGTGGGCACTAAAATTGCTCACCCCCGTCACGGCAACGAAGAGGAACAGTCCCGAAACAAAAATGGTCGAGCGGTAGACAGGGCTTGCATGCGTTCCGCTCGAACGTTGAAGGAGAAGGTAGGTTGAAAGAATGTAGAGAACGAAATAAACGCCATAGAGGGGTCCTCCAATCGCCAGGCCAGCCAGGTTAGTCCAGGGCGGAGACATATTGCAGAAGTAGGGACAGTGGGAATGTGGACAGAGTCTGAGCAGAGGGTAAATACAGCTTGCTATTTGTGCAGTACGGTTGATCATGGCAGATCCTTGTTGATCATGGCAGATCTCAAGTCGTCATTTTCGCGGAAAGGCCAACGGAAATTACTAGGGCGACCAACTTAATCTGGATGCCGATGTCTCGAATCTTGATGACTCGGGTGCCTGACGACCTTGAAAATTGAATGAGATCAGATGAGATCCTGAGGAAAAGGTAGGTAGGTAGGTAGGTAAGTAGGTATCATTACACGGAATTTACTTACAACGATGACGGGCTATCAGCGCTCAGCGCGCGCGGTTTGCAATGAGCCGATTGAGAGATAAGTATGAAGTCCTGCAGACCACATTAAAGCTGAGGATGAAAAGGGCACATCGATCGAGCGAATTCAGACGCGGGGAGTCGAACCCCAGACTGCGAGGTAACGAGTAAACGTCTTTCTCAGATAGCCTCGCCGTGGTCCGTACAACACGTCTGATTCCCTGCTTTCTTTTATGCCCAGATTAAAAGTCGGTCTGAAGGGGGATATCAGAGTCTGAATGGGCGTGCACGCATGAGAAGAAAGAGACTCGGTCGATGAAGCGGCTGGTGCCGGCGGGGCGATGGATTCCGCGGTCTCCGCGGAAGATACACAGGAGGGCAACGATAGAAAATGGAGACACAGATCCAAAAGATACGACACTGAGAAATACGTCAGCTCACCGCGCAAGAGCAGATGTAGAGGACTCCGCACCATAGCGGAAGGGAATTAAAGCAAAGGACGCACCATGGCGCACCATGCTCAGTAAGACGTCATCCACACATCTCGCGGTCTCGTCACCCAAGTCGTGCCAAGTAAAAGAAAATGGAATATCTCCAACGACGTATTCAGACGCGGGGAGTCGAACCCCGGACTGCGAGTAGATTTCAAATAGCATCACTGTGCTCCGTGCACGGACGGTGCACCACGTCTGATTATTTGCTCCAATTTTGAGTAGATTAGGCGAGGAATTGCCAGCTAGCTGCCAGCTCGCGACGGGTAGCAGACTCGCCTCAGAAAACGGTCGGTGATATTTGTGGATGACGATGCGGCGTTCTTTGAACATGCAGTACTAAAAACATTGTCAGGACAAAGTAGAGAGAGAGAAAGACGTGCTGATCGTTGTTCGAATTGACAGGGCGACTTGCAAACAAAAAGGAAGGACAGACCAGCGCCCTGTTCGGACACACGGTCGAACCCTGGACTGAGTAGGTGACGTTAAATAGCACAGATACCCTCGCGGTGTTCACACACCAGGTCCGATTATTTGCCCTGTCGCTGGATGAATGAAGTCCGAATGTAACGGTCCAATGGGAGACGGATGGCTCCCGGGAAAGACCCCTAACCCAGGGTGTAGACCCGCCACTTTGGCACACCACGTCCGAATATTTGCCCTGTTGCTGGATGAATGAAGCCAGAATGCAAATGATCCAATGGGAGACGGAATGGCTCCCGGGAAAGGGGGTGTAAGCAGACCCGCCACTTTGATACACCACGTCCGATTATTTGCCCTGTTGCTGGATGAATGAAGTCAGAATGCAAACGCTCCAATGGGAGACGAAATGGCTCTCGGGAAAGGGGGTGTAGACCCGCCACTTGGCGTACGGCTGGCTAAAGCAAAGCTAAAGGACAAGCGTGCTGACTAATCTACAGAACCCACTAGGCGGAGGCGCTTTGTCCGTATCCGCACCGGGGCAACTACACCACTCTGAATCAATTTTCGTCGGCTGCATGGTGTAATGGTTAGCACTTCAGATTCTGACAACTGGTTTATTCTGGTAACCCCGGTTCGATTCCGGGTGCGGCCTTCCGTTTTATTCTTTTGGTGAGTGATTGACATTCGAGCCGCTTCTGCGCACGCCGACTTGGGGTCCATCCATTCAAACCCAGCGATGAACCTTATTAGTTTACTGTTTACAGTTACATGACTTAAATAAATTCAATACTGCACCACGAACAGCCGGCCCTGCTCGAAAGTGAGTACAATGCCGTATACATCGTCAAATGCGACAGTCCGCCCTACAACAGGCATGCGCTCGGCGGGCAGCGACAGCTCCAGGAATTTCTCTGCCCCACCGACGCGGCAACCATCATCTTCGCGTACTAGTGCCAGCGTGCTCTGACGGACAGCAGCGAAGAAGGTGTGGTATGATGCTCTGAGGGTGCTCAACGGCTGCCGGACTATATGCGATGTGGTTGAATCGACGCCCAAGATATGTTGGCCGCGGTCGCGGTCGATGGATGTTGAGGAAATGACCAACCGCCCGTCGGGTGAGAGAATTACTTCGCGGAGTGTCGCACCGTCGGCGCCAAGGGATTGTAAGGCCCCGTGAGATGCATAACAAGACTTTGGTGATGGAAGGACATAAACGGTGCGCGGAGTGAATCGGACGGGGATCGAGAATGGGCCGCACGGCATGATGGCTGGAATGTCGATAGATTGCACGCTACGCATCCCACTCTTGGACGAGTTGACAACAATGGATGTATTCCGTTCGACGCTGTGGATAGTGGCGGCAGTGATATTGCAGTCCTGTACTGGGATTTAGTTGCGAGAAGGGCTGAACTGGAAACGAACAAACCGTCATCAGGAAAAATGTTTTTAGTACGTTGTTGTGTGTTGAAATCTGTAGTGCCGATAGCTCTCGTAGCCATCCACTCTTGCTCCATTGCGCTCGGTAGCTCTCGTAGCTCCGGTAGCGTCGGGCCGACAATCAATAGTACCTGATAGCTGTCAGCCCACGGATCAGTAGCGCCGAGTAGTGGGGAAATTTTCCTTTGGCCGCCCGCACAGGCCCGCAGTCGCCCCGGGTGTTAAATCACATGTCTTCATCGATAATTCTCGCGAGGAGTGTATTTGAGAATGGGCAACTAGCTCTGGAATCTCACCGAAAAATCACAAGTCCGCTCGCACGTGCGCATTGCGTGATTGTTTGGCGCCAAACCAGTGTTGATCGTCGTCGCCTTTCTCCCTTTCCCGCCATCTTCCCCCTTCCTCCTGTGTGTTTCGAGCGCTCTCACTGACCTTCTACATTCTCCATTCCTCGCCAATCCACCCTATCCTGTTATCAAGAGCTGCAAACGGTGTTACGGCCCTGCGCCACCCATACTCACCAGCTCTGCGCCATGCATGGTCCTCAAGACACAATTCTGCTAGCAGCGGTATCAAGACCCAAGCCATACTCAAATGCAAAATTCTCAAGATTCAAGCTGTCTTCACTTCGAATCACGTCAAGCTAGATGTCAAGACTGCAAGCCAACTCCCTTATATTCAAGTCGCCTTCAAGCAACCTTCAAGCATATCTAGTTTCTCCTCAACTTCAAGTTCCCCTTGCCTTTTGGGTCCTCTTCACTCCCTTTACTAGGCCTGGCTCGGGCGTAGGCGTCGGCATCGGCGGTGTGGCGTCGGCGCGTGGGATTCCTGTGTATATGGAGTTTTTCGCCCTGGGTACGTTTCACCATGACATCTTGTGTGGCGTCCTTACTCATTTTAGTACCCAGTGCATCTTATGGTGTCGCAACCTCAGCTTGTGAATCCCTCTCCCCTTTACATCCCCCTACCCTCTTCCCCCTGGATCGATCTCTTTCACGCATCGGGATGTACACCGTTATATATATTCATTGTATGTGCTGGATGTCTGTAGGTTATGTAAATAAATAAATAAATCCGTTTTTTTGCCCATTTATTTTTTGTGATATCACAAGTTATCGCAAGTTACTGAGCGCTACGAGACAGCTACTGCAGCCTACTGCCTCGGGTATTGAGTGCTACGGGACAGCTACGGAGATCATAGTGATGGCTACAAGATGCTATCAGATCTTGGTGTGCGGCTATGGTGAGCTACCATAAGGGGGACTTGTCTACGGGGTTACCACAAGTATTTGGGCTACAGAGTGCTACGTACTCACGCCTTTTTTTCCTGATGGTGTCAAGAAGCCACCAATCGCTTTGACTCGACTTAAGGTCAACTATCACGAATGCATTGCTGCTCCAAACTAGGACAAGCGATCCTTTCATGGAGACTGCGGAGGCGTCGAGGGGTAATGGGAAGATGTGTGTGCGATGGACGGACGGCGTCGTGGCAAGGGTGTGATTAACAGCGAAGACACTGAGATAGCTGGTTCGACTCCGCGTTAGTGGCCGGACATACTATGTGAATGACAAATAAAGCACCTCTCGACGTTGTGATGCTGATTGAATGCCTTGGAAATAACGACAACCACTATGTGCGCGCCGTTATCGACGCTGTCCCAGTCGACCGTCATCGTGGTATCTCCGGGGCGGGGATCAAAACGCCCGCAAAAGGGGACGTCCAGCGCAATTCCGTACTCGCCCTGCACATCGTATATCCCAAGATGAGCCACGGAGCCAAACAAAAACGAGCGACCGCCGGGGAGAACGTTCATAAACGTTGGCGGAAAGTGGCCGATGAAAGTGCGCTGCGCGTATCGCAAAGGCGACCAGAAGGACCAAGACGGGAGACCGTAGAGGCGAGTGGCTTCATACGTTCGTATCGGAGACACGGGGCGCGCAAGGTCGCGATGTTGCCATTTATACAGGATTGACACGCTGCGCGCTACGTCGTAAAGGATTCGCGCAAGGTCGGTCGTTTTCAGCGTCTCGCCCAATGGGAGACGGATTCTATAACAATCGGACGCATCGATCCAGAGTCCCCGGTTCGTTAGAGAAATGTATCGAAAAAAGGATGCGGTCTGAGTGAGTTGAGTCTGTGCGGGAAACAAACTGGAAAATTGGTTTACTCACCCTCGAAAGGTTGAAGATATCTGTAATGGACGAGCCACGGAGCACGATTAACAGAAGTTCTACCGGCAGATAGTCTAGCATCGAGGGAAGTGCGGACAGGGCGGAGGGAGTCGACTCGGAGGGGAGAAGCGGTCTCTTCTTATAAGTAGGTCCTTGTCGATCTCATTCGCCGATTGACGGGTGCCCCTAGTCCTTGCCGCACCAGGTCAGAAAGGATTTATCTGTGCCAAATCGAGCGCGAAATCTTCCTCGGGCGACGTGCATCATCTTCCCTTGCTTGGTTGGCGCCCCTGGCCATTATCATTCTCCACGTTTCGCTTGGATGGATCGGATGGCTCGCTCCATTTCTTGCGGCCCAGTGGCGCACCGTGGCGCAACACAAAAAAAAGTGCTAACGGTACGGGGTTCGGTCCGAGCGCCGGGTTCGTGGCTAGCCTCATTTTAGAGACGTACGTACCACCAGCGATCGCAGAGCTTAAAAGGAGAGAAGTCTTCGTTACATCCGTGGCCACGACGGTTTCTGCCATTCAGGTAGAGCGCGCCGCATACAGTTTTTACCTATGTATGTACGTGAGCGGGGAAGGAGCAACCAGGCCTGAAACACTGGCCCTAACCTAACCAAATCCCGCGGCACTCTGCTTCCTCGTCATCTCGAGCCTAACCTCGCTGGACCACTTGAAGAAGTCACATCTCCACGTTGGGTCGACTTGTTCCCTCAGTCGCTCCGCCCTGCCCTTATCGTAACCAGGTCCGACCGGGCTGGGATTTGCAATCAGTTGAACGAGGATTGGATCATCCGAGCATCGTACGTACCGCGCACAGATGAAGAAATTCTTGCCCTTGTTCGGGCCCGGCTTATTTACGGTCAGCTCCTTTGCTACTTCGCCGTGGACGAGACATTTCGGTGGCTGCAGACGTCCAAGGCCGAGGCTGGTCCATGCTTTTTTATTCCCGTCGTTGCCTGATTCACCACTCGGTGGAGGCGCCGATTCCTGCGATAACGAGAGTGCCAATTTGTAGTCGGCTTCGAGCAGATCGGCCTCCGAGCGTTGTTTCGTTTTAGACGAGGACGCCTCGGGCTTGGAGAAGAACGAGGCGAGGCTCGTTTGTCCAGCTTTCTTGGGTTTAACATCGTCCTTCTTGAGCTTTTTCGACGATGATGGGACCGGTTCTTGGACATTTCTTTTCCGCTTGGCAGGAGCAGCCGAAGACGCGGACGTGCTGGAAGCGTCCAACTCCTGGCCGCCCGAAGGGTGCCGATCCTCAATTAGTTCGATTTCAGGTGCAATCGTATCTAATTTCTTGTCGGGGCCCTCGGCTTCGGCGTGGGCTAACTGTGATACCTCGGGAGTTGGCGGAGCCGGCGTAGTCTGTAGTGGAAGAGTAGGTTTGGGAGCCGGCTCCAGTCTTTTGCCAAAGAACGTGTCTAAGAGCCTCTGTTTATACTCATCCCAGAATTTGGCGGCGATACGTGGCGGCTCTGCGCCAGCTGCACCGGGTCCCAGCACATCTCGTAGTTTAAGAACGCGACCATGTGAATCGATGATCTCGTCCCGGAGATCGATGAAGGCTAGCAGAGACGGTGCTTTAGTGTATCGGCCAGTAATGATACGTTAGCAGACTAACCCGGAGCATGGTCGCTCCCCTTGATCTCCGGCTGAATGTCGGCGGCCTTGATCCACGGAAGGAGACCCGGGGTCGCCAGAATATAGCTGGTCCGAGTCAGCCGGATAATACAACGACGTAGGAAGATGATCATACTCAATGCGGGTTCCGTAGTTAGACTCCCTCGCAGAGATTTTGGTGTTCCAGCCTGAAAGTCAACGTGTATTCTCGAAAGCAGGACTCCGAGTTGAACGGGATGGACGTACACGTATACATTCCCTTTCGATCTGGCCAGAAACGCCGTGCGACGTCGACGAGACAACCCTTGTTTCCCTCCGCGTCCGAGATAAGCCAATCTCTGAGCCATCGTCGAACATCGCGCTCCCAGAACCCGTCTTCGCCTTGCATGCCCTCCGCCTGCCCACGCGCGACCATAAG